TGTTAATTTATTAGAACTTCATTCTGGATGTTAATTTTATTAGAACTTCATTCTGGATGTTAATTTTATTAGAACTTCATTCTGGGTGTTAATTTTATCAGAACTTCATTCTGGATGTTAATTATTCTATTAGGACTCTCAGATGTGCTCAAACAGGTAAATTAATCATTCTGAGTGAAATAACTCACGTGTTTTCGTCTGCGATTACTCCGGCCACCGTGTCGAAGAACAGCATTGCCTGGAAAACACAAACACATATTTCCATATATTTCCATACATTTCCATGCATTTCCATACTCTTTCATAAGTGCTGCTTTTATTACTCACAATACGTCTGTTATTGCTCATTCAGGCTAATATAAATTATACAGGAATCATAAATTATGTAGGGATATTTAACATTATATATCAGTCAGTAAAGCCCTGCTTAACTAGAACTCCTGGAGTATAACATGAAAACGTAAAATAATATGAAAATCAAATCGTTTGGTCTGATAACGGTTATCTGAATTTTTTTGCCCCTTAAATATCAGCAGGAAGTGACCGAAGAGGCCGAACCTGCTCGTATTTCCACTGTTTCTGATTGAGAACAGTAGCCGAAGACTGGGACAGAGTCAGCAGGGAATTCCTGGGAATCAGAGTGGCCATTGAGTTCGGAATGTTGTTCACAACAGCGTCAGAAGAAGCGTTCACAGTGATGATCTGCAGGAGAGAGAGAGGTGTTATTAACCAGTTATAACACCTACAGCTCTGACAGTGAGAGAATCACTACACGCTGCTTTACTCAGATCAGACAGTCCTGATGTACGAATATATGAATAATGTACGGATCAATGTATGAATGAATGTGTGTGTTTGTGTGTGTATGTTTGTTTGTGTGTGTGTGTGTGTGTGTATGTGTGTATGTTTGTGTGTGTGTGTGTGTGTATGTTTGTGTGTGTGTGTGTGTGTATGTGTGTGTGTGTGTGTACGTATGAGTGTATGTGTGTATGTGTGTGTGTATGTGTGTGTGTGTGTGTGTACGTATGAGTGTATGTGTGTGTGTGTGTGTGTGTGTGTGTGTGTGTGTGTGTACGTATGAGTGTGTGTGTGTGTGTGTGTGTGTGTGTGTGTGTATGTATGTATGTGTGTATGTGTGTGTACGTATGAGTGTGTATGTGTGTGTATGAGTGTATGTTTGTGTATGTACTTATTATTGTGTATGTATGTGTGTGTATGAGTGTGTGTGCGTGTGTGTGTATGTTTGTGTGTGTGTGTGTGTATGTGTGTGTACGTATGAGTGTATGTGTGTATGAGTGTATGTTTGCGTATGTGTACGTATGAGTGTATATGTGTATATGTGTATGTATACTGTATAAGTGTATGAGGTACCTGGTTGACGATGCTCTGCTGGACCACGGTGGGTGCTGTGATGATGTTGGTCACGAAGCTCTGTGATTGGATGACAGTCATGAGCGTACGTGGATCAACGGTGTAGAAGATGGTGGAGGGGAGGCCGCTCACTAACGTCCCCAATTTCAGCAACGAGTCAGAGGAGGAGATCTACACCATCACGACCACCACCACCAGGGGGAGACAGAGAGAGATACAGAGAGAGAGAGAATATGTGTAACATACTGTACATATTATATATAAGATACTGTATCAAACCTGTGTTCCTCTAACTGCACTCTTCTGACCAGCATATCATAATTCCACTGACAAACAACACATATGTGGATTTATTCTACTGTAATAAACACCTACTGACCAGATAAACGGCCTTTTAAATACACACTGCTGTGTGACTGAGGTGACTAAGCGTAATAATGTTTATACACTGCTGTGAATAAAAGTTTTAAAAATTCAAATTCCATGTTATTATTGACTTTCTGAGTGTATATAAGTGACATATATTCTACAGAGACACACTACTGCACGTTTAATACACACTCATTGTTTATTTACTGAGTTTAACACATTAAAAAATAAAACACACTAAAATAAAATAATAATAGCAACAACAGCAACAACAGTAATAATAATAATAATAATAATAATAATACCTTGTAGAATCCCGAGGAGAGCAGGGTTTGGATGATGACCATGGCTTGACCTTGACTCCAGCCCACCACACTGCTGAGGATACTGAGGGAGGACAAGAGGACAGATGGGGGGGTGTTGGTGATCTGACCGGTGCTCAGGCCAACGCTGGAGTTCCCCAGAGCCGTGATAGACGAATTCGTTAGAGAACCCACGTTCTGCGCCAGAGCAGCAGATACCTAGAGCCACAAACATCCAGCATCAACCACAATAATCTCACAGACTATCATACAATCATAAAAACTGTTAAATTATCGTCACATTATTAATCTAAAACTGTCAGATTATCAATTTTTTAATCTAAAACTGTGAGATCATCAATTTATTAATAAAAAACTGTTAGATTATCATCAAATTATTAATCTAAAACTGTCAGATTATCATCAATTTATTAATTTCAATCTCAGATTAATAATAT